GATAAAGCATTATGACGTTCAGGTGTATAATGTAGAGAAAAATGATCGTCTGAAATGTGTCTCTGTGTACATTATGTTTTTTATGATACACTGCAGATGTTTAGTCTCTGGAGCTGTTCATATAGCGTTCCTCTATCTCTGTTTTCCTTTCTACCATCAGACAAACCAAAGTTTTTTCGAAATGTTCCCGCTGAGATACGCGTCGCAATCACATTGATCTTCTTACCTACTTCTCCTTATTCCTATTTTCACCAACATCTTTCTCGTCTTCCACGCTGCAGCAAATCCACCAGAGTCTGGCGGACAGGAAGCAGCTACACGTGGTGGAGTACCAGGCGCAGCTCGGCCCCCTGCCCGTGGTGGTGGCCAGCCCCAAAGAGGGGGCGAGGCCCGACCCGGAGCCCGTGGACGAGATCCCCAACACCCGGCTGAACTGGGACGACGTGCAGGCCGCGCAGGGCATCAAACACTCAAAATGGGCGGGGGTCAAACGCACTATCTGGTAGTGAGGGACACTGGACTGATGGAGGGTTGTCACAATGTGTTGCTTTGCCCAGGAAAGCTGAAACGGAAAAAAAGGGGCATTTGTTCTCCAGAAAAATATCAGTTTATGTTCCAAATCTATCAGATGTGTTGTTTTGTCATCCGAGAACAAAGGTTACTTGTTTCTCCAAATGAAGACGTCACATTTGAAAACTCTCCAGATACTCCCAGAAAAGTCAATAAGAAACGCTCAGATCCTTGATATCAATGTTTTCTTTTATAACTGTAAAATTAATGTGCTTTCTCACCCTAGGATTTGTTGAAAAGACTTGTACTAATATAATAAAGTATGGATCTGTGAAAGTGTGTTTGTGATAATAACTTTTCTGTCTCTGGAGCATTCAATAATGCAGCTTGTATCTGTACACTGACGTCCTCTGACAACAGGGAGGCTTTGTTCTTCCATAACAGAAAGAAATGTGATCATCAAAAATGATGCTGCTTAACTCATTTAAAAACATGATTTTCCAGTACAGTTGATGGCTGAAGAAATGCAGTGGTTATCAAGAACAACATTGTTTTTTTCAGGAGTTAAAGCACTCCCACTTGAGTCTTGGAAATGGAAACACAAGGAATCATTGTAATGAGATCGCGGAAGTAGTAATCTAACGATGGAGTTTTCACAGGACTGAATGGCAGGCCGAGGTGTTTTTGTATCACAATATGTAATACATAACACGCACAATGCCAACACTTTGTCAAGCAATAAAGACCAGACTTTACAGTCTAACTAGTCATAGAAGTGCTCCAGGTGAGGCTTGAACTCACAACCTCGGCATTGCTCTGCAGGAACTGTCTTATAAGTACCGCGCGCTAACCGATTGCGCCACTGGAGCTTATCTCTCTTTGAGCCGAGAGAGCTCATGTAATAGTTTGCAGACTTTTTGTGTTTTCTTAAGTTGTTGCTGAAACTGTGATATTATAACACACACACTCCACTCCCTCTCTAATTTCAATCCAAATGTTTAAAGCTTACAAACATTATTTTTTGATCTCTTTAATTTGAAGGTGGTGCCTATGTCATTTATTTCAGAAACACTTTTTGTTATATTCCATGGAATGCTCTTAACATCCCGATAGTAATGAATATATTAAATGCTTTGACAATAAATACATTAAAAAATGTCATCTGTTGAAGCCGTGGCGCTGTAAAAAGCACGACCAATCATCTGAGCCGGCCCGGCTAAAGTAACTGGATGGCCTACCTGCCTGTCAGCCTTCCATCTGTGCACAAACTTATCTCGTGCCCTCATTGGTCATGTGCGCGTTGGTGTGTGTTGGAGGAGGGGCTCTGTAAGGAAGTGGCAGATTTTTTCCGGTTGTATATTTTCAAATTCTAGCGCACTCGAGCTGGTTTCTCCAAAATTACCTACCCCACCTTTAAGTGAAAAACTAACACGCTGCTGATTGGTAATTGCGATTGTATTATGTTTTTTTTCAGAATCAGAAATAGGTTTACTAATATTTTAAGAAAACTATAATAACATTAAAAAATGATGAACAATATAGTAAAATAAAATATAGCAGTATTTACATTAAAATAGAATGGAATTCACAGATTCACAGATATTGTGTGTTTCGCATCCTAGTCATCTCTCACACAATATTTGTCAAAAACAAAGTGAGTTTTAGGTTTTATTATTTACGATGCTTAACTTTCAGTACATAAGTGTAGAGGTACTTCATGAACATTGCAGTCAGCTACATGTGTGTCTTTTAAAGTTGAATCTATAGCCAGGGCCGCCCCTCCCTACAGGCCAATCATGCAGGCATGGGGCCCCGCCTTGCGCAGGGGGCCCCGCCCAGAGGGCCTCAGCTGCTGTGCGCAGTTCTCCGCTCAGTTCTCCGCGCACCCCCGGCGAGAGTGAGAGGTGACAAGGGGAGCACATCTGTAAGCCGATGCAATGAATCGACATCTGACCAATCATGGCTTTGATACGGCCACTAGTGCAGGTGAAGAGATGTCGTTGAAAAGACAGTTTCAGTCCGGCGCAAGCAAGAGGGGAAAAAAACAAAACGTGAAGAAACTAGAGCATCACTCGAAGGTGGGTTATTGTATGAGTCAAATGTACAACTTGCGAATGTTGTATAAGTCAAATTGCCAATTGCCATATTAAAACATCAGCTGCAATTCACGACATGAAGAAGGCAGTCTCTGCAGCATATAGGCTAATGGAGATGCAGTTATTTCCAGCATTATTTATTTACCGTTCATTCAAGTATGTTATGCCTTTTATCTGCTAATGTACAGGAGGAAGAGTGATAATCTGTCTGTCTAGTTGGCTTACATAACAGTTAAAGTTTACAGCTTAAAAAACATGGAGCATTTTCCCCCCTTATATTCATTATTATGTCAATTTGCACATTTCATGGTGATGCTCAGCCTCTCCCCTTAACTCCTAACAGTCATCATCATGTCAACCACAACACAGAGAAATACTGATAGGAATGTGTGTGTAGTTGTTGATACATTGCTGACAGAGGGAACTAGAATACAGATTTAAGAAATATCAGTTTTTGAGCATGTCATAAGCATGTTTTGTCTTGACTATATTACAACTATATTATAATAAAATAATATAGTATTTATATTATTGAATTGATTATGATTATTATTATTATTAGTAGAAGTAGTTTATTTGCATTAATCAATCAATCAATCAATGTTTATTTATATAGCCCAATATCACAAATGTTACATTTGTCTCAGTGGACTTTACAGTTTGTACAAAATATCAGTATGACAATATGACACCCTCTGTCCTTAGACCCTCACATCGTACAAGGAAAAACTTCCAAAGAAAACCCACAGTTTAAAGGGAAAAAATGGGAGAAACCTCAGGGAGAGCAACAGAGGAGGGATCCCTCTCCCAGGACGGACAGACGTGCAATAGATGCCGTGTGTAAATTGAAAAGATAATACATTTGCAACATAGGTAGTCCAAATGTTTGGAAATGCATGTGTGTATAATAGGAAAATGAATCCACGAGGATATCCATCCAGGACCTATGATCCAGGACCACAGCCACGACTCAAGATCCAGGGCTCGCGATCCAGGACAGAGGAGCGCAGGATCATCCATGACTCCGGATCCCGGCGTATATAGACACCAAAAAGAAAGACATTTGGGGAAGCTGGGTTAATCGGAACATGAGAGTACACAGGTATAGACAGAGAGAAGGAAGAAGTAAGATGTCCCCCGACAAACTAAGCCTATATCAGCAAAACTAGGGGCTGAATCTAATCAGCCCTAACTATAAGCTTTATCAAAAAGGAAGGTCTTAAGCGCACTCTTAAAAACGGATAGGGTGTCTGCCGCCCGAACACAAACTGGAAGCTGATTCCACAAATGTGGAGCTTGATAAGAAAAGGCTCTGGCTCCCATTGTACTTTTAGAGACTCTAGGAACAACCAACAACCCTGCATTCTTGGAACGCAATGCCCTAGTAGGACAGTAGGGTATAATGAGTTCTTTGAGGTAAAATGGCGCCTGCCCATTAAGGGCTTTGTAGGCGAGAAGAATTATTTTAAATTCTATCCTGTGTTCTATAGGGAGCCAGTGTAAGGCAGCCAGAACAGGAGTAATGTGGTCCCTTTTCCTAACTCTGGTTAGTACACGAGCTGCAGCATTTTGAATCAGCTGAAGCGACTTGACTGACTTCTTGGTACACCCTGATAATAAAGAGTTCCAATAATCTAGCCTTGAAGTAACAAATGCATGGACTAGTTTCTCTGCATCGTTTTGAGGCAAGATATGCCTGATTTTTGCAATGTTACGTAGATGGAAGTAGGCACAATAATTATATTTTAATCTTTTTGAGGCTAGTATTTGGCAGGAAATGCAGACGTAGTCACCTGTAAACGTATATTGAACGACATACATGCACATTTACCTCACTGTATACAAAAGTAACTGTGTTGATAATAATAATAAACAGGAATTATATTTGCAAAGTAGCCTACTTTGTTTCCAAAAAAATTGTTTTCACTCCTGTCGGTTGGGGGGGGGGCCTCATCTCACAATGTCGCTTGGGGCCCCAAGTTAGCCAGGGGCGGCCCTGTCTATAGCAAACAGTCAGTGTGCGGCGCGATGCAGAGCAATGCTGAGGTTGAGAGATCAACAAATTAGCAGCATATACATCTAAATCTCGTTTTTACATCTTATTTTATTTAATCTTAAAAGTAGAAAAAAGTTTGGGATTAAATCTAAACAAATACACCTCCACCCTGTAGGTAGCCTACTGATGATTGGCAATAGTTCAATTTATAATAATCAGAAGTAGCTCTTAATAAAAAACCAATTGAAAGATCAGTGAGAAGTATTTTAAGACTAACTCTTTATAGATACTGCAGAAGAAGAAATAGATCTATCAGGTTACAAATCACAAAAGCATCCATTAGCAACAAGACGCAACTTTTGGATTTCATAACATATCATGTAATAAAGGTGACAACAAATATTTCAAATGCTTTTATTAAACATGTTTACAGTGGGCAACTGTCCAAAGGCAACACAAATCCACAGCCCAGCACCTCTAAGGACATACTGCATGTTTCTCTAAGAAGAATAAGAAACGTAACACATTGTGTGAAATAATTATCTGTGGTTTGGAAATGATAAATGGTAATAAACATGTAAAAAAAAAGTAAATATATGTCATATTGAAGTGGTGCCTGACAAAATGACAGCACTTTAAATCATTTCATAATTGACACTCATTTAAATAGTTTTCATAGCATTTGCTTCTAATTCTCACATTTTCCTTCATGCTTTCATTTTTAATGTTGTTTCCTTAAACCTAATTACATTTCCCAGAATGGAGCCTGAACCTTACATTTCAATCTGCCCAGGTTGTCAACACACACACAAACACACACACACACACACACACACACACACACACACACACACACACACACACACACACACACACACACACACACACACACAAACAAAGTACTTTTTTGGACACGCATGTCTGTGATTTACTTTTCAGAAGTTTTTCCAACGGATGGAGGAGAGGATGGTGTGGATGAAGTAGAGGAGTGTAGCTATGAAGGCGAACACCTAACACACACACGCACACACACACACACACACACACACACACACACACACACACACACACACACACACACACACACACACACACACACACACACACACAGAGTTAAAACAGAGCATGGGCTAATGTCTACATTTCTGAGGCTAAGTCTCGGATATAAGATGATTTTTTTCATGATGATGTGTTAGTTTACACTTTCTAATTAAATACTTTAAAATGTCTCCTCTTACTCTGAGAGAAAGCTAATTTGTGGATGTAGCGAAATGTTGAACTTTTCCTTTAAAAGCAGCTGTAAATGTTATACAAATAAACATCTTAAATCAGTTCTCACCACAGCAGCGATGTCGATGTGGTAGATTCTTGAGTTGAGTGGTTTTACCAGGAAGGTAATGTACGCCAAGTCCACCCCGGCACTGAGGTAGAAGAAGGCTGCCAGGCCATGGTACACAAAGTCCTGGAGTAAATCAATGAAATCAGCCCCCAAACACCTGCAAACACACAGGGAAGAGCAGGTATTATGGATTTTTTTTAAGATTGATGCTCAACTCCAAGGTCACCTATTATGCAAAATCCACTTGTTCATGTCTGTTATAGGCAAGGCAATTTTATTTATATAGCACCTTTCAACACAAGGCAATTCAAAGTGCTTTACAAAAAATGAAAGACATTAAGAAAATGGCATTGAAAATCAGTCATTAAAAAGAAAAGATAATAAAATAAACATTAAAAGAAAAAATACATGGATAAAAGTTACAGTGCAGTTTAAGATGTGAATAGTTCAATTAAAAGCAGCGGCAAAAAGAAAAGTCTTTAACCTGGATTTAAAAGTAGTCAGAGTTGCAGCGGACCTGCAGGTTTCTGGGAGTTTGTTCCAGATATTTGGAGCATAATAACTAAACGCTGCTTTTCCATGTTTAGTTCTGACTCTGGGGACAGAAAGCTGACCAGTCCCTGAAGACCTGAGAGATCTGGATGGTTCATAATTTAGCAGAAGATCAGAAATGTATTTTGGGCCTAAACCATTCAGTGCTTTATAAACCAGCAGCAGTATTTTGAAATCTATTCTTTGACACACAGGAAGCCAGTGTAAAGACTTCAGAACAGGAGTGATGTGATCCACTTTCTTAGTGTTAGTGAGGACTCGAGCAGCAGTGTTCTGAATCAGCTGCAGCTTTCTAATAGATTTGTTAGTGAGACCTGTGAAGACACCATTACAGTAGTTGAGTCTACTGAAGATAAAAGCATGGACAAGTTTTTCCAAATCCTGCTGTGACATTAGTCTTTTAATCCTAGATATATTCTTTAGGTGATAGTAGGCTGATTTAGTAACTGTTTTAATGTGACTGTTGAAACTCAGGTCAGAGTCCATGACTACACCTAGATTTCTGGCTTTATCTGTTGTTTTGAACATTGCAGACTGAAGCTCAGCGCTAACTTTGATACGTTCCTTGGCTCCAAAAACCATTACCTCAGTTTTATCTTTGTTTAATTGGAGAAAGTTCTGACACATCCAGTCATTGATTTGTTCAATGCACTTACTCAGTGTTTGAATTGGAGCATAGTCTCCTGGTGAAATTGCTACGTAAATGTATGTGTCATCTGCATAGCTATGGTAACTTATTTTGTTGTTTTTCATTATCTGAGCCAGTGGTAGCATGTAGATGTTAAAGAGAAGAGGCCCCAAGATGGAGCCTTGAGGAACCCCACATGTCATAATTGTCAACTCAGATGTGTATTTGCCTATAGAAACAAAGTTTTTTCTGTTCTTTAAGTAGGATTCAAACCAATTTAGAACTGCTTCCGAAAGTTATACATAAACATGTCCCCTCTGTGTAAAGAGACTCTGAAAGTTTCAGGAAAAAAGATTTCCTCTCTTTTTGTCCTGATCCATTTATATAAAAACCTGTCTGAAAATGAGCTGATCAGATTTGTGCCACTTTATGATGTCATAACGATTTGTTGGCTTGTGTAACCATTAGCCAATCAGCAACCAAGGTACCCCCCCCCCCCCACCTTATCACCTGAATCTCCTCCTAGAGCACCATTGTGTTCTTTGTAACCAAATGTCTCTCAGAGGGGCGTGGGGAGGGGCTCCTTATTTTCATCTAAAGTAACAGACAGAGAATCAGCCCTTTTGAAACAGGGCTGAAACAGAGGGGATTATGGGTAATGCTGCAATGATCTGCTTGGTGTTTCGAGCCAAACACTTCAGAGACATGTTCTGTATATATCTGAGACCTATAATATATTGATGAAAAACAGTATAATAGGGGACCTTTAAGATTGATGCTGGTGCAAGAGTCGCCTTAAAGGGGCCCTATGCTTTTTTGTGTTCTCCTTTTCCTGTAGAGTGTATAGGTTTTTATGTAAATGGTCTGCAAAGGCTAACATTTTCCCTCCCTTCAAGTAGGGTATTTCCCCCAAAACGACCTGCAACCTCAACACATATTTTCTTTCAGTCTTATTGGACTAAGCTGTTTGTTTTTGTTCACCTTAAAACTACCTCCACCATCACAGTTTAAAAGTAGATTGGGGGCATAAGGATAAGGCAGTTTAAAATGGATAAGAGTGTTTCTAAACAAGGGTCTGATCATTCTGGTGCAACTTTTCACAGTTTCTGTGTCCTGATAACTGATCTGAGGAGCTCCTTTTGCTGTTTACACATCCTTCATGTCACGGTGTGTGAAGCAGGTAGGACCCAAATGCAGATTAAAGTGAAAGTTCCTTTATTTCAAGGCTAGGTGATAACAGACAGAACAGAACACTCACCGACGAACTAGTCATGACAAAAGACAACCCGACAAAGAGAGACAGAAAACCCAGAACTTAAATACACCCAGGACTAATCACATAAACACGAGACAGGTGAGGAGGGAGGAGAAAACACAGAGGTACCAGGTGAACACAATCGGGTAATCGGGGAGGGAAACAGACAGAAAGCAGACAGGCAGGAAACGGGGGTGAACACTTTACAAAATAAAACAGGAAACCCAAAGATAGAAAAAGACAAGAAAAACACCAACACAGACAGATCCTAACACTTCACCACCCTTATTTAGATTTGGACACTGCTTACCTGTGTTATTTATCAAATATGACTTGAATGCAGGCAATTATTTTTTGTGTCACCAGTGTTTAAAGTCAATAGCTCCTTTTTTAAAGCTGCACAGTTACAACTTTGGATTCTGTGGTATCTTATCAGCAGGATTAGAAGCCACATCTCTCTAAATGTTGAGTAAACAAACACTTCTCTTTACTTTGTACAGGTCTCTGAGCTTATGATCGGTGGTGTTTAAATGCCAAGTTATTGTAGATAAAGTGTCGACCACATCCTTACAGTGGAAACTCTCTGGAATCCAAAGTGTGACTTGAAATGGCACCTCATCACAACCCTGCCCTTGATAAAGAAAAGCTCAAATAAACAACCTAGAATACATTCAGGTGTAAATAAACCTGAACAGCTTCCTCTGGCAGATTCCAGCGGTCATATGAGCAGTTTCTATCTTTTGTCTTCTTCGAGAGAGAGAGAGAAGAAGAGTTGACACATTGTATTGGCACAAATACAATATGAGAGAAACGTGAGATTTGAAGGCGTTCCGCCCATATAAGGAATGTCTTTCAATGTCTTTCAATTTCACTCAAACACACACTTCTATTCAAAGAATTTGAATTCTCAATGATGCATGATATGTTATGGCAGCCACTAATTAAGGCAAATTGTGGTATTTCTAAGATGCTATCAAATCATTTAGGTCATTACTATTTACTAAGGGTATTTTCTAGTAACGGTAGAATGTGGTGCTAATTTGTACTTCAACTTTAAAACATTTCAGAGGAAAATGTTATACTTTTACTGCACTAAATGTATTTCAAACTTTCTTTTTACATAAATACATGTGTATGTATTATATACTGTATATTTAATTTAATTTACTTTAATTTACTTTCCAAAATGAGCTCCATATTGACGTATTACTAAATACAAATATTTAAATCTCATATGTATTTTCTGATGATAAACACAGGGAAATGTAATAAATTCATAAGAGGTATTCTGCACAATTAATACTTTTACTTTTGATACTTGAGTTCATTTAGCTGATAATACTTCTGTACTTTTACTTAAGTAACATTTGAACCGAGGACTTTTATTCGTAATTGAGTATATTTAGACTGTGGTATTAGTGCTTCTACTTAAGTAGAGGTGTGTTGCAATATTAATTGTAATAAGAACACTTTGTTCAGATACATTTAGTTAAATCAATTACCAAAAAGGGATCCTGACAGGAAGAATCCCCTCTGATTTGAAGGTCATTTCCTCTGTCCCTCTGTCCACTCACCAGTTCTGGCAGGTAGAAGATATCGGGGGCCGTGGTGCAGACCCCCAGTCCGCTGGGCAGGCTGCTCATCGGCTGAGCCGTGGTCGCAGCCATCTCTTCCTGATGCTTCTCCACGAACACACACACACACTCCTCTCTGAGCTAACGGAGCAGCAGCAGGTGTTACTGACCCTGAGGAGAAATCCAAGTGAGCGGTCAAACCTGTTCTGCCCAACTCACTGCTCCTCACACACACACTGCTCCTCACACACACTGCAGACACACCCCTCTTCTTCTCACAGCACTCAGGGATCTCTTGTGTTTGATGTGAGCTGCTGAACTGTGAAGGGGGGGTTAAAATTACCAGGGGAGATGTGTGTGTCCTGGGGGCTTCTGGGATATATCTGAAGAAGTTTTAGGTTGAAGTCAGTTTATGACTTTTATTATGTGTTAGCTGTTAGCAAATATGCATGTTAGGTAGACCTATAATTCTGAAAAAAGCCTAACTAACAAATGAAAGGGCTTACAGAAAGGTGTATTTACTACTTGTACTTCTACTTTGAAGGCAGCTTTGGGCACACGGTGGTCGGGGTTTTTATTGGTGCCTCAGCATCGGAAGTTTAATTTTTTAGTTAATTTTCCATTTAATTTATTTATTATGTTTTCATGACATCCGCTCTGCGCTGGCTCTACTTTGTGATTTGCAACTGCATTAACTCAAACCAAATTCCCACTTTTTGGATTGGATAGATTTCAGTAATATTTTATAATATAGGAACCCATCAGAGGCTGTAAAGTATTTCCTGAAGACAAAAACATAAATATTATTAAGCTGTCAAACTAAAGAATATATACAGAAAGTAGTAAGCCTGCAAGAGTAACATTTGGAGTGTATATATACATCTAACATTCAAAATTAGAAGCCCTCAGAGATTATTTACGTTGGCACAAAAATGTGATAAAATTGAGGCTGAAACATGTTGTGATCACTTGCTATTTTTCCTCAATGTTGTACAAATAGAAATGGCTGGCTAATTTGACGTTCAAGCGATGTTTCATGGTGCAGAAAGGTAATGGTTCCCATAGTATTTAATGACAATGTGTTTCCTTATAATGGAAAAGTGAAAAGGAAAAACAGGGAAGCCAGGATTAATGTTCAATCAATTTATTTTTCAAAGATTTCACATAGAAAGACACCTGTAAAGTGAAATTATTTTCATTCAAATTCAAATGATAAATCATGTGGAAACATCCAAACATACTGTATATCTAAACAGAAAGAAAAGAAAGAACTTGTATCCAAATGTAATTTAAAAAAGGGGGTTAAGGAGGAAAGTTGATCCGTTATACATTAATCTTTTGCTCATTGTAAACATGGAGAAAACAAGCAGGAAATCAAGTTTTAAATATTCAAGGTTTCAGGTTTTTATCAGTACAAGCCTCTGAGGAGATCTAAGCATTTTAAATGTGCTAAGATCTGCTATTAAATGTGGATGAAATGTTTTAATGACAGTTTGGTTTGTAGAAATGTTTACTGCCTGACGATTGTGAAAAGTCAAATACTTTGACTTGCACCATAAGTTCGGGAGTCATTGGTCATTTACCTGTACAGCAAAACCACTTAAAGCCAACGACACTTTATTCAAATTTTGCAGAGCGATGAATAGAAATATGTTCTGAACTTGAAAAATATCATAATGTATATCCTGCTCCTGGAAATGTTATTACATCTGTGGTTGAATTAGTTATTGACACACATTTACTTTATAGGCCTACTACTGTTTTTTTCTAATTATTATATATATCTTTTTGTTTTGCAAACATAATTTAGATTTTTCAGTCTTCTTTACCTTCTGATGCAACTGCTGCCATACTGATTATAGAATTGTGGGGTAATTATATATTTGTAATAATAATTTTTGGGAAGACCTTGATAATGAGACCAATCAACAAATAACATTTTGCAATATTCTGGTTGTTTACCTTTCACTCCTTCATTTGATATTTGGCATTTAGTTTTTTCTTTTAAAGTAACTCTTGTTGACCTTGAAATTAAGAGACACAACAACAACAAAAAAATCATTCTGTTTTTCCTCCAATGACAGGTCAGCTGGGTAGTTGGTTTCTTTAAGACCTCTTCCATCGAATGGCAGAGAAAATGGTATGGATGAAGTAGAAAAGAGTGGCCAAAAAGGACATCACCTGGAAACACACACACACACACACACACAACACACACACACACACACACACACACACACACACACAACACACACACACACACACACACACACACACACACACACACACACACACACACACACACACACACACACACACACACACACACACACACACACACACACACACACACACACACACACACACACACACACACACACACACACACACACACACACACACACACACACACATATGGGCTCAGAACAGTCTCATAATACACACATGCACACAGAAGGATTCAAACTTGTATTTCCGGATCCATACTTGTGTTTTTCAATGCACACACAAATGTATTCCGTTTCATATACATGTAAATAAAATCCAAATACAGAACAAAGTTTTACAGATGTATTTTTGATCCTCACTTATTAGTTTCCCGTTTAAATCTCCTGAACCTGCAAACACAAACAGCTTTCTGTGCACGGATCGCTTTGCATTCGTGTGTGGGTTTTTTGAGACTCCCCTGACGCTCAGCCGATTCGTACTTGTAATTTTTTCTATCTATAGCCAATCAGATGTCTCCTTCATTCTAAGCCAATCACATGAGCGCGCCCCCACGAGGGTAAGATTACTTCATATACGCATTTTGCGCAGTCCGGTCAGCTTGCTAAACAGAGGGCGGAGCATCAGGTGATCATGCAGAGCAGCGTGTCTCCATCAGACTCAGCAGCTGATCTGATCTCTCTCTCGCGTCCGGTTATACTTCACTCGCGTTTATGTCCATATCGATCAGATCCAGCTCTCCTGATCGGCCTTTATAGAGAGCACCGATCAAACTATATCGGCCGGTAACGACCGGCGGGGCTCCCGCCGTTAACAGGTCACTGTCTAGCACTGGCTTCGTAGTGCACTGATCGATTAGGCTAAGCTAACCTGTAGCTGCTCCCTCCACACTCACAACAACTTCATACAGACATAAATAAAGCAGCTGTATTCGCCATACAGGAAACACACATTTAAAACGGTTTTGCCTGCCGTTTTTGTGTACACAAGCATTCATCAATGGTTCGGAAAGTGGCGCTGTACCTTAATAATATAAAGGCTTGTATTTGCGTGCATTTCCTGTTCGAAAAGTGTCAATGTACTGAGAGTGGTGGTGTCCTGACACATTAGCGCCTGCAGGCAGGCTCCATGGAGCTGTCAGCTCCGGACAGCGCAAAATGCGTACATGAAGCGCTACGTCATGAACGCAAGAAATCTACCCTCGTGGGGGCGCGCTCATGTGATTGGCTTAGAATTGAGGAGACATCTGATTGGCTATAGATAGAAATAATTACAAGTACGAATCGGCTGACCGTCAGGGGAGTCTCAAAAAACCCACACACGAATGCAAAGCGATCCGTGCACAGAAAGCTGTTTGTGTTTGCAGGTTCAGAGGTTTTAAACGGAAAACAAATATGTGAGGATCAAAAATACACATGTAAAACTTTTTTCTGTATTTGGATTTTATTTACATGTATATGAAACGGAATACATTTGTGTGTGCATTGAAAAACACAAGTGTGGATCCGGAAATACAAGTGTGAATCCTTTTGCAGATCATGAAATACAAGTGTGAATCCTTCTGTGCGCATGTGTGTATTATGAGACTGTTCTGAGCCCATACACACACACACACACAGAGAAACAAGTCAAATTAACTTATCACCTGAATCTCCTCCTAAAGCACTGTTGAGCAGCTCATTTGCATTTAAAGCTATAATAGGGGACCTTTAAACAAGATATACTAAGATGCATTTTGATTTGAAGTGGACCTATTGTGCTCATTTTCAGGCTCATATTGTATGTTTTTATTCTAGTGCAGATGTAAAATGAATTTTGGAGCTATATGGATAAAAAGGTTATATATAAAGATGCATGTAGATTATTTCCCAATTGATTAAAAGATTAAACAATTAAAAAAAGAGCTTCACAGAAAAGCTGAAACATACAGAATACATCGTATATGATACTGAAAATCCTAGCTTAAATCTGTAGGGACACTGGAATAAAGCATTTACATAACTAACATATGAAGTTACTTTGTAAAAACTAATATTATCACAAACTTCATCACTTAAAAAAAGAAAAAAAGTTTTTGCTCTCAACAAAGTAAAGTAAAGTTGGAATCATCACAAAAGGTTGATAACATGTTATGATCCCCAGAGTTGTGTCTCTATTAAGTTGCAGTTATCAGAATGGTGTAGTATATGTAAGAAGTGTGTGTGTGTGTGTGTGTGTGTGTGTGTGTGTGTGTGTGTGTGTGTGTGTACATGCGTGCTTGTATGTGTTTCTGATTGTTTGACATACCACTGCAGCAATGTGCAGCTTGTGCAGCTTGTAGATCTTGGAAGTGTCAAGGGGCAAATCTGAGTCCAACCCCGACACAGGCGCTAATGCTGCTAATGCTGCTAAAACCTGGCCCTCCAGGACCGTGATGAAGGCCAGCGGCACCGACGCACTGAGGTAGAACACCGTCGCAACAAAATGATAACCCACATCCTGAAAAGAAACAAAAAAAAGTTGGGCGACATGTTGATGAAGGTATGAAGTTAACCCTTTAACAGCCAGCACCACCATTTGGCTGTGCACATTTTGTGGCTTGATATCTCGTTGAAAAATAAAAAAGTTTAAGTCCATCTGATTTAGCCATCTCTACCATTTGGTTGACATGTTGTGCACAAAAACACTTCTAGATGCAAACAAATTTCCAACGTTTCTTTCTTGGTCTGGCAATTAAAGGGTTTTAAAGCATAAGAGGACATTTCCAATAGTCTGAATGCTGTGCTCCAACTTTGTGGCAGTAGTTTGATTGTTT